GCAGGAACTATGGTCCAGTCCTAACTAGGACCTGTACAATCTTGTGTGAGATATATGGATAAGAAACTGGATGTAGACTGGATATATGGACTAGACTTGGAGGAGACAAACAAAAAAGGTAGTACTTGTCAATTTATATAAGCCTTTAAGTCAATTTAACAAAAGATCCAAATAATCCTATATATTTTTAAAAAGCAATCACATTCTGAACTTATTTACTCTTAATAATTTATACACGCTGTATATTAAGGACACGCGGCTTGACTAACACAATGACAAAACTTTCCCCTCCCAAAATATTATATATGTATATGACAAAAGAAAAATCCAAATCAAATAAAAATTGTCAAAAGAAAAAAGACCAATCTAAGTGTGCCAGGCTTTGGTTTGCTTCAGCGTATCAGATCGGTACCTGCGTCTGATATCTTTGCTGTACTTTCCACCATATTTGGGACGGTTGGCAGCTAGTTCGGTGATTTCCGGTATCCAACTAGCGAACACCGCCTGTCAGAGAATCGACATTATACCCCAGTGAGGCTCCCCAATTGTTATCGGCGATTATATTTCAATTAATATACATACACTAAACTTATAAACTCATTAATCGACCTTGGAATCGTTTCGTCACGCTCGGTTAGTGTGTCGATCGTGTGCCTGTGTTAGTTTTTTATATTCGCTGCTCTACTAGCATTTGTAATAAAATAAATATTAGTGTGTCAAATATATTTGTAGATTAAGGTGTGTATACTAGGTAGTTTAGACTTTTATGGAGATAAACATTAAACAAACCATTTGTTTATTCCCAGTTTCGTTTGACCACAGACTTGATTAAATATTTTTATTCAAGATTTTAAAACGTCAAGTGGTCATGTCCCATCTTAGATTTGATCTTCTTCTGGGTCTCTTAATTCCTCGTGGAACCATGATAATTTTTGTGGTCCATCTGTTGTTCGTCTTTCTTGTCAGGTGTCCTGCCTATCGCCATTTGAGCGATTTGATTCTGTGTATGACATCTTAGTTCAGTCACTGGGGATTTTTGCTCGGAAAAAAGTCCGGAAGTTTTGCAACTTTGCAGGTTTATAGGTTTTGGGGTCCCTAACTAAAATCCATAAAATGCATATTTCCAGACTTGCCACCCCGACGCCGCCATCTTACCAAGATGGCGCCCAAAATCGGTATTTTGTGAATATCTCAAAAACTATGCGTTTTTCGCGAAAATTTGAAGAGAGCGGAATTAAAGAGAATAAAATTTCCTATAAAAAAGGTTTTATAAAAATTTTCGCTAAAGTCAACTGTTTACGCACAAAATCCCTGGAAATTTTACAATTTTTCGTAAAATATGATATATTATGGATAGTCGATTTTCCGAAATCAAATGTCGATTAGGGTTCACTAGAACTAGTTTTAGTTTAGTTCCTTCAATTATGTCATAAAACAGTGGCGTATCATTAATTCGCTCATTAATTTATGAATAATTAATTTTAATTATTGAAAATGTGTACTTGTTTCCACACCACCCAAGAGGTAAAAGTACATGGCGCGCTTATTTTAACGTTTTTATACGTTAATTCTTTCATTTAACGGAGGCCTACTCCACTAGATAAATTAAAAACTTTAACTTATCTGCACAAGCCCGACGGATCTGGCTCGTTGATGTCAAAGTCGATCGTATCTGCTGGGCTGGGCTCATCAGGGTGGTCTCTCAATACGTCCAACTATTCATCTTCAGTCGCCAGAGTGATATCTACAGGCAAGTCAAACTCCTCTTCATCGGATTCGTCGAGTGACACTTCAGTAACGTTGTCACAGGATTTCCCATTGCAGTATGCACAAATCATGCTTTTCTGCATCCGCAGGCTTTACCATAGTTGTTGGTTTTACATTTACGCAGGATAAAAATGCCAATAGATATTTTGGAGCTGGATCTTTCAACGTTGTGACTGGAGTAATGCCTGTTTTTGTTTTCTTCCAACCCCATTCTTCGGCATCTTTGGTACAACCAGACCAATGTTGAACCTGGTGGTAAGTTCGCAATGAATGCTGTCCAGCACGACAATTAATTATTCATAAATTAATGAGCGAATTAATGATACGCCGCTGTTTCATGACAAAATTGAAGAAACTAAACTAAAACTAGTTTAGTGAACACAATCGACATTTTATTTCGGAAAATCGACTATATGTATATCATACTTTACGCAAAATTGTAAAATTTCCAGGGATTTAGTTTCTAAAAGTTGACTTTAGCGAAAATTTTCATAAAACCTTTTTTATAGAAAATTTTATTCTCTTTAATTTTCAAACTCCAAAAAAAACTTCAAATTTTTGCGAAAAACGCATAGTTTTCGAGATATTTACAAAATACCGTTCTTGGGCGCCATTTTGGCAAGATGGCGGCGCCGACGCGGCGGCCAGTCTGGAAATGTGCATTTTATGGATTTTAGTAAGGGACCCCAAAACCTATAAACCTGCAAAGTTTCAAAACTTCCGGACTTTTTTCCAAGCAGGTCCCTTTTTTGATCCCCAATGACTGAACTATCTATTACCTGTTGTTTTTTGTCATATCTACTCTATTTTTACGGTCTTTGTTATTCCCAGCATATTTCGTTCCATGGAGTGTTGTGAGATCTGTACATAGGATCTGTAGTTTCCTTATAATGTCGGTTTTAAGTGTCACAGGTTTGGCATGCTAAGTCATAACCGGTAGTACACATTGATCAACTGTAATTTGTATTATTTTTAATTTGTGAGCATTGTAATTTGTGAGCATTATGTAAGTAGGTGCTATATATAAAATAAAAAAGTTCTTTTAATTTTTGTATAAAGCTGCAACACAATATTTCACAATTCATATATATAATAATAATAATAATAATAAACCGTCTTTATTGTACTATAAAAAAAGATAGTTACAATTTGTGGGCGAAGTTTAGCTGTAAGCTATTCTACCACTTAACTCAATATATGATTCCAAACATGATATCCAATCACTCGTTTTCCAGAAAGGTCTAAACTACCTCGACTATTAATATATATAAGGTTATAAAAGTTAGTTTCTCAGACATTTATATTCTTGGGATGGATAGTCTGTGGGATACAGAGCCTGAAAACCCAAAGCATGTTTCCTACAAAGATCAAATATATTAAACACACTGTATAAAATAATCACACAATTAATATTCTCCATTTTTTAGATAAAACAAATAAACAATTTAATTAAAAAATATATTGTTTATTAAAAGCTAATAGTGCAGCAGATATATTAGGTCTGTTCTTAGAAGAATCCCTGACTAGTCAGCGCGTTTCTTATTGGTTGAAATGTGTAGAAACCAGACTAACAATCAGGTTTCTACGCATTTTAACCAATAAAAAACCTGCTGACTAGTCAGGGATTCTTCTGAGAACAGACCTATTAACGATTGTAAGGAATTGTCGACATAAATGGCAAATGATTGGAAAAAGGAATTCAATTGGATGTCTGTTTCAAACAAAAATATGACAAACAGTGTGATATCAAACAAGTGCACTTCAAGTTCTACTCCAAACTTATAACTCTATTGCAAATTTACTAACTATAAACCAATTCTACTGTAAAAATAAAGATTATTTACAGGATTATTAGTGTTTAACTTGGATTTTATTAGCTACTTAGTATTCGAACCATAATCATCGGGTATAATGTGTATATTATAAGAAAATAATCAATACTAAGTGAATCAATAAAAAATCGACGTTATATTACACATAAAAAATTATTTTAGTTCGAGCTTTGCTATGTCTGTCGCTGAAATTCTTGACAGAGATAGTGTTGAACATTGAAATCATAATATCTACTTCCTGTAACACCTTGACTGTCAAAAATGTCCGCTAAAACATAGTAAAGGACAGGCTGAAATGTTATTTCTAAGTCTACTGTAACATCATCTTCATTTAATCACTCAGAACACACTGACCATCAGAAAAAAGGACACCCAAAATTTTTATGTTTTTAAAGTTCAATAGAGTTTATACTAGTGGTCCAATTTAATTGAATTGTCCACGTCTGTCCATTATACGATGAAAAACAAAGTGCTGTTATTTAAGAAAATGATTGAAAAACCCTGTAGTATGATTTAACAAATAAGTAAGTGAAGCAAATTTTCAGATGTCTATTTTTGGTACTGATCAGTGGAGATACCTATTAGATTACTAGTTAATAAACTATACCTAATGATTACAGATCCCTATCAAAAAATACAGTCTCAAGTGTTAAAAATAATAACCAAGAACAAAAAATATTCTAAAAAACATTGTGCGGGCTGGCTGTGTATATGTTTCAAAAAAAAAATATAAACTGTCAAACTCTTTACTGTAGAAAAAAGTTAGTACAAAAATGAGGCATGCTGTAATTTTTTCGGCTAGAGTACAAGTCGAATAATTATTAAAAAAAATAAATTATTTTAAATTTTAAATATTTAATTTGCCGCTGAATGAATTTTTAATTTTCAAATATTTTGAAAATGCTGCAATATTATTATTTTTTGGTTTTTATATATTGGTTTTTATATATTGGTATTAGACTAAATCTCACAAAACATACTATATATACAAACTGACAGAAAATAAGAACTATTCATAATTTAAGAGGATATGATTGACATATTCTCTAAATACAACTTATAAAAATTAAGATGTTACAAATCAAAATATAACCAAATTATAAGTATTTTCCTCTTGTTCAATAAAAATATATTATTTTTCTAATTAAAAATGGATTAATAATAATTAAAAATATTGAAAACATTTGTGAAACTAGCTAAGCGTTTATGTTATACTGCATAAGAAAAATGGCAGACTCTGACGTATTAATGCTTCTTTATAAGATATTATTATTATTTTATCTATATTTTGATCTTAGGAAAATCCAGATGCAACTGAATATTGCCAAGAAAGTTGAAACAGGAATTTTGATAATTTTTTTAATTAATATATTAAAAATAGGATTTATTAATTTGTAGTACCTCTTTCCGTGTTCTCTCTTGTACTCGCCACAGTACTTGGACCTAGTACCTACTAGATCTATGATTTCGGGAATGCTACTAGCAAAAATAGCCTGGAAAAAATCATGTGCCAAATACCGTACGTTTCAAGAAATAAAAGTCAAGCATATTCCGAAATAAAAAGCTAGAAAAACATACATTTTTTTTATATTTATATCCAAAAGGTATCAAATTATCAAAAATTTAGCGTTTAGTCCTCAAACCAAAGACATCTAAATATAGGTGAGACAAAACTTTTTATTAAAGTAATAGTACATGAGAATTCAAGATGTGAAGTCCACAAGAATCGTATAGGTATAATTTTATTTTCAATAATGCTTTTTTGCAATAACCTACTTAAAACTTAAATTAGATACACCACTGTTAAAGCTAAAATAAACATAACGTCACTTAGCGCCGAAATATCAAATTAAGAGTAGAATTTTGCTACACCTTTTTGCAAACTAAACACTGACACACCATCTTAGATGTTTAAAAATACTTTAAACAGTTGTTTTGCAAAGAGAAACAGTAAAAATGACTTAAAAAATACAAACAACCGCGCATCAACTCTGTTAAACATAACTTGAATAAATCCATCAAACCCCTTTACTACGCATAATAAAAACATCGTAAAAACCATAGAAACCAAACAGTTTTCCTGAAACAGCGTTGTCACAGTTATTTCCCTAATAAATTTTAATTTAATTTAATTAGAACACTAAAAAATATTTCACAGGTATTATTGATGTATTTTAATTAAAATTATATACCTACACATAGATTTAGTACGCTATTTCTATGGATATCCAAAAAACATTAAAAACAATTAAAACATACTTAGTTTTCAAACAGAATTCGTAGATCTAACGCAATCCGCAGAAATTTGTCATCATCGATTTTTGTTGAAATGTTTGCGATGTTTGATCGCGATATAATGTAAATATATAATGTTGTCTCCCTCTATTTAGATGTATCTGTCCCAAACTATACAGTACATTGATATTTATTGTTTCAGCTTATAATTTCAGATTTTTTAATCGTGACTTTTTCTTTTCTTGATCTTACAGTAGTTTAAAACAGTGTTGTCAGCAGAGGCAGGAAAATTTAGCTATGTGAACAAGGAGTGAAAATAAATATTGATGGAAAATTGCAAAATGTATAAAAATAAAGAAGAAACAAGGATGCCGATCAAAATTATGATTTTTATCAAAAATATGAATTAAACTCTAAGAGACTAATATGAAAAATTAATATTGATATTAAATAGTATTTTTTAACAGTCGATTCAATTAAATTTTATTCTTTTAATGTGTTATTTTAACACAGTTTTTTATTAAAATTAATAAAAAATAGTATGCAATCAAGAATATATGATCGGCATACTTATAATGATAATTGTGTGGCATACAAAGGTTACTGAGCTTAACAAACAACAAACATCAGAAGCATATCTCCTAAAAACAAGCATTCAAGCAGCCAAGTAGCCACAAACTTTGATGCAGTGTTTTCAATAATTGAGATTGACGAATTAACCATTTCATAGATTTTAGAAATTTAAAAAATATATTTACTAAAACTATTTAATGAATTTCCATTGGCAGATAACTGTCAATCAAAACGTCATTTTGTAATCACACTAGTTTTTTAGGATAAAAAACAATGTGAGTTTTATTTGAATCAACAGAAGCACTGTATTGGTTCATAATTAAATTAAATAAAGTGCCTACTATCTGTTTTCCTTAAAAATCTTGTAAATTATTATGGATACTCGGCTGTATTAAGCTACATAGCAATACAAGACATGCGTCTCTAACAAACGACTCAATCTACGACACAGCCTCGTAATTCCCTAGTCTCGGTAAGTCTTGTCGTAACAAAGATGTACGTTCAATCCTAGATCACAATTACATACTTTCTTCGACGCCAAGATACTGTAGGTTTTTAGTATAATAATTATATTTTCTACATCTTCAATATAGTTAATAAATATATTTAATATTAGAAACCTTATGGAGTAAAGTCTGACCCAGAAAGAAGATACGTGACATTGACATTTCCAGTCTGTCATTTTAATTAACAGTTAATTTGTATTTTCTGTCATTTTTTTTTCGTTGAGTTTAGCGTCATTCACAAAAAGAGATAATATGATCTAAGGATTTTAATGACTTTTTTTATTAAAATTTTACCGAAAAAAGGGAATAGCGTTGACCTTGAAAAGGAGTTCATGTGTGAGGATTTTGATAGGATGAATAACGAAAATAAAATAATATTAAAAAAAATCAAAGGTTATTCAAACGTGGATGAATGGAAAGGGGATATCATTGGATGGTGGTTATCATAATATATGTAAAATATTTAAATAAAAAAATTATATACACCGTAATATCGAATATTTTCTAAATTTTATAGCCAAAAACTAAAATATTATCTTAATTAAATTTACAATTCTGTATATTATAGAATGTTAGAAATACTAAATTTCGTGTCATAAATGGTTTAAAAGAAAGAATCTAACATCCTGTGTGGTAAACCTTTTTTTGTTAAATTTTCATAACACTGACTTCGGTAACGTATGACCTAGATTAGTTCAGATAACGACATCTAAAGAAATAATAATGAAAAGAAATAGATAATAGATAAAGCGCCAAGCTGACATTGCTCATTTTTGTCCGATGACAGTTTAAATGACAGCTGTTAGATTAAATCAATGACCATATACGAGGCTAGAGCAGAATTTGTGTTGTTAGATGCCATTTTTTTGGAGACAACGGAGGTGTCACCAGCGACAATTTTAACGATTTTTAATAGTTGTGTGTAGTGAACTTTGTATAAACTTTGCTACAATGGTGATTTGTTCGGCTATCGTATCTATCCATCTATAAATCGTAAAATCTGCAACGATAAGAAAGAGCCAGGAGTTACGTTTCATAGGTAAATAAACCGTCCACTCCACCTTTTTAGCGTTTTCTTATTGAATCTGATAATTATTTTTCTGATATTATACAGGATGTCCCACTTAAGATGGATACAAGCCCTTGGTTGTTTGTTGAGCGATCTTTTTCATTTTTGGCAGGAGGCTGTATGGCTATAAGACTATACTACTATACCTCATAGACGTACGTTTTAATAGGGTTTGATATTTTTTGAGTCAAAAGTAAACTACAGTTAGGACAGTATTTATTTAAAATCTGATAAATTATATTGAATCCTCCTTACCTAAGATACTTAAGTTCTAATTTTTATAAATATTGATACAGGGTGTGTCATTAAAATAAGGCATTTTTATTTTTATTATTATTTTTTTAAGTACTTACGACGCCACTGGATAAACAACTTGTTTATTATCAATAACCAATTAAATCCAATTATCAATTAATAATCGAATTTTGGTCGAAGATGTTGACTTTTAGTTCGTTATAGTTTTATAAATGTTTTAAATAACTATTTGAATTTTTTAAAATATTCCTTAATAAAACGAATAAAAATCATATTTCAGATTCCCTTGAAAACTGGGTTTTTAAATTATTTTGTAAGTCATTTTATTTATTTGTATTAGCAAACTTAAAAAACAATTTTTTAAAGTAAACAAAATAAATTGAAAATATTTAGTTTTTTTGTATCTATCGTATCTTAATTATTATGGAAGGTATCTGAAAACTTAAATCGATTATTAATTGATAATTGGTTATAATTGGTTATTGATAATAAACCAGTTGTTTATCCAGTGGCGTCGTAATTATTTAAAAAAATAAAAATGTTTTATTTTAATAACACACCCTGTATCAGTATTTATCAAAATTAGAACTTAAGTATCTTGGGTAAGGAGGATTCAATATAATTAATCAGATTTGAAATAAATACTGTCCTAGGAAGTAGTTTTACTGGAGACTCGAAAAATATCAAAACCCAATTAAAACGTATATCACTTCTTACCGTCTATGAGGTATAGTAGTATAGTCTTATAGCCATACAGCCTCCTGCCAAAAATGAAAAAGATCGCTCAACAAACAATCAAGATACTGGATTGTATCCATCTTAAGTGGGACACCCTGTATGTACTTGATATGTGCTATACGCCGATACTAGTTTTGTACAGTCTACCGTCTATTAACATTTTAATACGTTTTTTTTGTAACTAATTAGTACGATACCATCTAAATATGCAGCATACACCCAGGGTTAGGAAGTAGTTAATTAAGACGTAATTTTATCTAATTAACTACGTGTAGTTTTTCTTCAAAAACTACGTCTTTTCCCGTTCATTAACTAACTATGTATTTTAATAAACTATGTATTGAACTATATGTATTGATATTATGAATAATTTTCCTTTGTATGAGGTGTAATAGAGATAATATTATATTTAAAGCCATATTTCTTTTTTTTGTTTTCTTAAATACATTATGTGTTTTTAAAGCTTCAACGTATTATAACCTCACCTCAATTTTTGTAACTAATTAGTACATGATAGTTTTCTAAATATGCAGCATACACCATAGGCGTAGTTAAAACATTTACCAAAAATATAAATATCTCTTCAAGCAGCTAAGTTAAGAAAAATATGTGGCACAGCACTGTTTGGAGGTATGGTGACAATTTGGTCTCGGGTATTATTGGTCATTGTACCGTTGTTATTAGTACTAATCCATTTAAATGTCACCGGACAAAATTGAAGGCGAGCGACATCTCTGTTCATGTTGATGAACGAGACAAACATATGCCGCAAAATGTAACATAAATATACAAAAATAAATATAGATGGAAAAAAGTGAACTTACCAAGCCGACCAGTAGGAAAAACACTAAAAATGTCCTTCCCAAAACCGTGTGACAGAACACGTCACCGTAGCCGACAGTTGACATTGTGACAATGAGGAAATAGACGCACGTCCAGTAAGGTAAGGGGTGCGGGTTGTCGAAGTCTAAGGGATCACCTGAATTTTCCAGCTGAAATAATTAAACAATTTAAGTTGGAACCTTTGACATTACAATAGACATTTAACGAAAGGGGAGACAACACTCCATTCATAAAACACCATTTGTCACAATCAGACATATTTTAACACTTTTATGTAAGTTAAAAAGAGATGGGTGCATACATATGACAACGCTGTTGAGTTACGTGAGCATTTCTAACTTTTCGGTCCAAAAGTGGCGTGCTGTTTTTTTTATCAACTATCGCAAAAAGTAATTTAAATTTAAATTTTGATTAATTTTTTTATAATGTAATGTAATTAGATAATTATTTCTCTATCATAGTAATAGGACATGAGAATTTCAGATGTGAAATCCATAAAAATCGTATAAGTATAATTTTATTTTCAATAACCTAATTAAAACTTTAATTCGGTACACAACTGTTAAAGCTAAAAGATACGTAACATCACTTACCGACGAAATATCAATTTGGGACTAAAATAGTTCATCTTTTTGCAAAATGAACACTGGCAAACAATCTTAGATATTTAAAAATATTTTTAACAGTTCTTTTGCAAAGAAAAACAGTAAAAATGACTTGAAAACCCCAAAAGTTCACAAACACCGCGAAGCAACAAAGTTAAATCTAAATTTAAATGAATTCATGTCATGAAACTTTTACTATTCATTATTAGTCATAGAAACCAAACACTCTTCCTGAAACAGCGCTGTCACAATCATACTTTCTTAATAAATTTTAATTTACTTTCATTATAAAACTAAAATTAATTTTAAAGGTGTAATCTTATTTTAACTAAAATAATATACCTACACATATATTTAGTACCACGTTTCTATAGGTACTGAAAAAAAAATAATAACATAAATATGTATATGACACTGTAAATGTCCGAAATGCGGTAAAACCTAGGATTTACCAAAAGCAAGTGGTAAAAGCTCGAAAACTTCTTTATTTTGCTTCCATTTCGGACTTTTACCAGACCCGAACAGTAAATCTTAGGATTTACCATACCGCATTGGTAAAAGTACGAATTATTTTTCTTACAGCAACAATATCGACAAATTAATCCTTTAGTTAGCCTGGTTATTTGGGGGGTGTTAATGCATTGGTTAGGTGGTTTTTTGGTGGGGTTGGTTGGTTTTTACTACCACTTGCTTATTCGTACTTTTACCAATGCGGTGTGGTAAATCCTAAGATTTACTGTTTAGGTCCGGTAAAAGTCCGAAATGGAAGCAAAATAAATAGTTTTCGAGCTTTTACCACATGCTTTTGGCAAATCCTAGGTTTAGCGCGCTTATCCTGGGTTTTACCTCATTTCGGATATTTACAGTAACATATACCGGGTGTTGCACCGTCGGACGGGACATAGGAAATCCCATGTAAATTTTAATGTGGTCAATTATTGGCTTCCCTAATTATTTTAGAGAATAATTCTATTTAGGTTTATTGAAGAGCACTAAAAATCACATTCAAAAAAACAACTTTAGATATTTTTGATTAGCTCGTTTACGAGTTATCGCCGATTTCTTTTTAAATATTTCTTCTTTCCTATAGCCCTGTATTTACTTATGAGCACCAGTCAAGGTAAAAAATAACTGTCAAATGAAGTTGTCATTTCAGAAATTTACCTATTTAGTGCTTTATTATTATTGAAAACTCATTCCTACATCGGAAATCTTAAAGATGTATTTATAAATACAAATTAATATGAATTAAAGTAAAATAAAGTAATCAATTACAAGGTTAATTATAGTACCATTACAATATTCAATAACTTATTAATTTAGGGACTATTAAATTGTTAGAACTTTAGGATTTAAGATGTTCAAATATTCCTCCAACGACAGCTAGACAATAACCCAGGCGATCATAAAATTCTCTTCTTACATTCGCTAGTTGGTAAACTGAAATTCTATTGCATTCGGCAGAAATAGCATTTTTTAATTCGTCTAGATTTAGGTATTTTTTATCCTTGTATATCCTGTTTGTTAAATGACCCCAGAGAAAGAAATCAATTGGCGAAATATCAGGAGACCTTGCTGGCCAATTTACTGTATGATTTAGGCCAATAACGTTTCCGTTAACACTATTGTCTAAATATTCCCGAACAGCCAGGGTACTATGTGCCGGGAAGCCATCCATTTGGTACCAAACTTCCTGATTTTCCCTAGCGGCATCATGTAAAGCAGGTAAAATATGATTTTCGAGTAGTTCCAAATAATATTCTGCATTTAAATTTCACGTAAGAAATAATGGCCCGATAATATTGTGTCCGAATATCCCTGCCCAAACATTTACTTTCTGTGGATATTGCGTCCTTGTTTCGACAAACCTGTATTGGTTTCTTTGTTCCAGTATCGATAATTTTGAATATTGGGTTCATTATTTAAGGTAAACGTGCATTGTTCAGTGAAACATATGTTTTATAAAAATTCCCTATCCGTATTTGCTCTTTCCATCATATCAAAACAAAACGCCTGTCGCCGTATTTCTTCCCCATCTCGTAGCTCTTGGTGCTTTTCATATTTGAAGGAATAGTATTTATGTCGTTTCAAAATTCGAAACGCTGTAGTGTGATCTATTCCTATTTCATCCTCAAGTTTCCTTGTGTTGATCTTTCCATCGTTCTCTTCCACGCACAATAAAACTTCCAAGTCGGTATCATTTCTTGCATCTTCTCTTTGTTCCTGCCTTGCTTCACATCTGCAGTTATTTATTAGGGTACCTTTGGTCTCAAATCTCTGGATATTCCTTGCGATTGTAGATTTTCCAGGTATCGGTCTATTCGGATACAGAGCAGCAAACATGTCCGACACCTTTTCATAACTATTTCCTTGATAATACCATTTAATCATCAATACTTTTTTTTCGGTAGTGTAATTCATGGCTAATATTTTCGATGTAGGTATGAGTTTTTAATAATAATAATAAAGCACTAAATAGATAAATTTCTGAAATGACAACTTCATTTGGCAGTTATCTTTTACCTTGACTGGTGCTCATAAGTAAATACAGCGCCATAAGAAAGGAGAAATATTTAAAAAGAAATCGGCGATAACTCGTATTTAAAGTTATTCTTTTGAATGTGGGTTTTAATGCTCTTCAATAAACCTAAATAGAATTATTCTCTAAAATAATTAGAGAAGCCAATAATTGACCCCATTAAAATTTACATGGGATTTCCTATGTCCCGCTCGACGATGCAACACCTGGTATACTTCGTTTTCAAACAAAAGCCGTAGATCTATCGCAATCCGCAGAAATTTGTCATCATCGATTTTTATTGAAAACGATGTTTGATCGGGATTAAAGTCATTGGCGCTAGCTACTGGATATGTGTAAATCGGCCTTAATTCTAGTAGTAAATTGTTTGGCAATTAATTATTGACAAAATCTATTCATTTGGTGGCTTTTATTGTCTGACTTTAATTATAATAAATAACATTATAGTATTAACATCTTACCAAATGTATAATGCCTGCTGCCGTGAGCCAAACAGAGATAAATATTGAGACTAGCTGAGCAAGACGTATCGAACTTGACGTTTTTAGAATGTTGAGGTACTGGAGGATATCTGGTACGGTCATCAGTCGTAGGGCTCGAAGAAATCGAAGACCTAAACAACAAGAACAGCCAATATTAAATTCATAAATGTTATATATTCTTCTATATATTTTTTGCACTATATTTTGTTTATTTTCATATCAAATTTAATTAAAACAATGTTTCTAGAGTCACAACAATGAATACTATTCAACTTTAATAAGTTGATTGTTTTTGCTTACCTATCCATGTTCGATCCAGATATATTGAAACGAAGGACGGGGGTATCGTAAAATAATCTACAAACGAGTACATCTCAAGCATGAACCATAGTTTATCGCTAGCTGCTATAAACTGCAAAAGAGCATAACGTTATATTAAATTTTCGTAAAGCATATTATAAACATATTCATATTTTTTTCATTAGTTTTTAATTAACTCGTTCTAAATCTTTACACATCATTTGTCTACTCTAGAAAAAGAAATGATAATTGAAAAAATTGCAAATTGGTGGTGGCAAGTTCATTTCTCTTTCAAAAATTAATCAAGGCATGTATTGACATGATTCAAAAAACAAAATGCTCAGGAGATATGGTTCTGACCGTAACATTATATTTTAAAAAAATATACAGACAAAATTATTGCACAGAGTGTTTTAAAGTTAAGGCAAAAAAAAGAACCTTTCGATTAACCCTGTATAATATGCCAAATACTGAAGTTCATAAAAAAACTAAGTTTACGAATTAAAGTTGATATAATTATACAGGATGGTTAAAAAAAAACATGTGCCATCTCTCGTGTGTAGATTTCTCGTGTAAAAATAAGACTTAATTTTCATATCAACATAAGTCCGATTCTGATTTGTTTCGTAGCTACAGGGTGTTAAATTCTTAATAATCTTTCGATTTATTATAATTTGAGGGTAAAAGTTACTATAAGTGCTACATATTTTAATGCTAAAAAAGTGTCAATAAATTCATCAGGGATTATCACTGGAATATTTTGACAGAGCGCCACTGACTTTTTTCTTTTGATATCAAAATTGTGTATGCCGTTTAATGTCAATTAAAAGTTTATTATTAAAAAATAAATTATCTCTTGATATTTTGTCGAATTCGGCCTCCTTGATGAGATAAACGCAATTTTATTAATCGCAATTAATAAAATCAAAATCAACTTAATAAATTATATATTTTACCTAATTTATTATTAAATTTTATTACTATTAGTTATTATTAATATTAGTTCAACATATAGCAATTTCAAATAAAAAAATAATGATATATAAGATAATTACAAAAAAAGTAGTTTTAAAAAGTTTTAACATCCTGTAACTCTAAAACTATGCATTTCCATACCCATGTTTATAGAAACTTTTTTTCATATTTTTTGATGAGGAATCAATGAGTACTTATTTAAAACTTTCGCAAGTTAATGATATTGAACTTTTTTAAAAAAAAGGTTGCTATTAGACTTGGATCAAATTAATAAAATTGCGTTTATCTCATCAAGGAGGCCGAAATCGACAAAATATCAAGAGACAACTTTTGATCGGCATTTAACTGCTATTTCGCTAACAAGAGAAAAAAAAAGTCAGTGGTATCAAGCCGGCATAAACAGTTTTCAGATAACGCCAATTAATTACTTATTTTATTGAAATTGATAAAAGCTGTTGTGCCTTTTCTGTAATGGACGTTCGAAAAGAAGGTAAAAAGAACTGTTTTTTCTTTTTTGCACTTAATTAAACCTAAGTAATATTAGTTTATGACAATTTATTTGAAGGCAACAAAAATAGCCAATTTAACCCAATTTACATATTTTGGGGGGCCCTCTATGCTCTAAAAAAGTCATGAAAATAAGGCTAAAAATAACAAAAATATAACACCAATTTAAACTTGGCCAAAAATTTCTCCGTTGCATTTTTTTCCACTGAGTGTATGTTATGTCTCTCTATTTTTTATATCAAATACATGTAATACTTACTCTTATAAAAAAATACACCATAAAAAATATGTTGAAGGCAAGATCAATTTGTTGAGTAATATTTTTACTCCATTCTTCACAGTGTTCGACGCCCTCGCTGAAAAACGAAGAAAAATCAGATTGTCTTATTCTATGGTCACGTTTATGTCGTAATAAATATCCAGGTAATATTCTAACATCGTAAAAACGTCACTTTGACGATATTCATAAACATCGAAGAAATATCTCATAAAACTAAGTCTTTAAACGTTTTTACTACGTCATTATAGTACCTGTATGAATTTAATGTTTTACTTGTATTAATTAATTTAAAAACAATGCGTCTTTTATGATTACATGTTTGTTAGTGTCATGGTGTTTATGTTAGAGACATTAAATATTTGTTTTTATATTTTTTAATTTAATGTATTTGGTAAAATAAAAATAATTCTGTAGCGTACAAGGTCTCCAAGATAAAAAAAAATAAGAGTATTTGTGAAATCGTAAGCTTCATTCAGAACATTGCAATTAGTGGAATAAATTGGTGGTTTCAATTAGCGTAGACGTTTCTTCCTTTAATTTCAATGTAAGCATTCAGAAGTCAAATATAGTGGTAGATATTTTCAATTAGTAGAAAAAGTTATCAAACTTTTAACTTTTCCACTAATTATATACCTCAAAATTTACGAGAAATGTAATTTTGACCTTTGATTATCTTCCGTCAAGAGAAATTGTGGTTAGAAATCAAAAACTGATGGTTTTATAAGCTAAATATTATATAATATACATAAATATAAACAAAATATGTTATAGGGGGGACTATAATAAAAAAGAAGAATGAAATTATTGGGCAACCCACAGTAACCACTCGTATTTTAGCCATGTTTCGTACCTAATCTTACTGTAGGTTGCCCAATAATTTCATCTTTTTTTTAATTATATCTTGAAAACGAAAAGAGATAGACTAATGAAATTTTATGGAAGCATTACTGTTATGAAAACACACTTTCTGGTAATTTTTCACTTTTTTTGAAAATGAGTGGAAGGGGTTGAAATAAACTACCCCTATCATTCTTGTTAACAAAATTTAAAGAAAAATCTTATCAAACACATGCAAAAAAATTAATTTCGATAGTTTAGTTTGTTTAGAAACTTTTTTATCTCTTGTATTTATTTTATAAAACTCACCGATTTGAAATTAAAAAATAAAATGTAAAGCATTACATGTCAGGACTAAAAATATTTTTAGATTATGAATCTAGTGATAATAATGATAATAATAATAGTCTAGATAATAACGTATTGCAGTAGGGTAATGCCAAATAAAACAATATTAGAAACATCCTAAAAAGTGACAGCGGCCGACTAGATTTTTTCCTAAAAAAATTACAGCTGCCCACTAGATTCTTTATCTAAAAATGTTTTTTGTCCTGACATATAATGCTTTACATTTTATTTTTTAATTTCATATCGTTGAGTTTTATCAAACTAAACTATCAAAATTAATTTTTTTTGCATATGTTTGATAAGATTTTTCTTTAAATTTCATTAACAAGAATGATAGGGGTAGTTTATTTCAACCCCTTCCACTCATTTTAAAAAAGTAAAAAAAATTACCAGAAAGTGTGTTTTCATAACAGTAATGCTTCCGTAAAATTTCATTAGTCTATCTCTTTTCGTTTTCAAGATAAAAAATAAAACATTATTTTTCCGCCATCTTTGTACCGCGATATCTCCCTAATGGTTGACTTTTGACCCAACGTTTATAAAGCAAACTACCCTTTATTTTGAACAAGGAATCACCCCCTGAAGTTTTTCGCATTTGTTTTGAAACACCCTGTATATAAATATAAACAAAATATGTTATCGTGGGGACTATAATAAAAAAAAAGTTTTTTCAAAAAGAATTAGTTCATCGAAGGGGGGGCAGAAACACTAAGTGTCTACGGGTAGTCGTATTTTAGCCATGTTTCGTGGCTAATCTTACTGTAGGTTGCCCAATAATTTCATTCTTCTTTTTTATTATAGTCCCCACGATAACATATTTTGTTTATTGTTTTCTCTGGGCCAAGGTGATAGCGGCGAGGTATGTTGAAGTACCTCCGCAGCGGTTTTTCGGTAGTAACGCTTGCGAATTGTGAGTTACTGCTTAACCAGGTTGCAAATCGTGCCTAGTGTCTCGTTTGCTTTTCCTTTTTCCTTTTTCAGGATCGCTAGTTCATCGTTGCTGATTCCCCCCGTATAGATGAAGCCGGAAGGCAGAAACACTAAGTGTCTACGGGTAGTCGTATTTTAGCCATGTTTCGTGGCTAATCCTACTGTAGGTTGCCCAATAATTTCATTCTTCTTTTATATACATATACAGGGTGGTCCGAACTGTATTCCGGAAACTTCGGCAGCATATTGTGCAGACAAAAATAAGTAAAAAAGTTCGTATAAATGTATGTCCTAAAATGCTTAGTTTCGGAGATACAGGGTGTAGAAGTTTCATTTTTATTTCAATTTTTTCGAAATAATTTTTGAAGTAACGTCAATATTTAGATGAAAATTGGTGTCTGGGAGTTTTTTGATATGAGAAATTTGATTTTGATGTCAATATGACTACTACTAGTAGAGGGCGCCACATACATATTTTTTAACTGGTTTGAAGAGTAATAACTTTTCGTCCGTACCTATATAAAACTACTGTGTAAAAAAATATACATTTACGACATTTTCTACGTGAAAAAGGTCTCTTGGTAAAAATCGCTACGAGTATTGGTTTTCGAGATATTTGGAATCGAAATTATCAATGCCTGTCATTATTAACATAAATTAAACATGTTGACTAAATACCGTATGATCGAGAAAAAACGGCGTCAACGATGGCTATGAAAGGAAGATCGCTGTCATTTTACATGTAAATTTATATGGGAAATGTCATCGATCGTCATTTCCCAGCCAACTGGACGCCATTTTTTTTCGATCATACGGTAGTTATTAGACTGAAATCATAAATTTGAAATGTTTTTGTGCCAAAAGTTCAACAGAAACTGTTTTATCATCATTTTTTCCAGAAAAAATTATAATTAATTTTAAAAAAAAATAAAAATTGCCCAAACTATCAACTAAACTTGTTTATTTTTCGTCAATAATGACATGTATTGACTATTTCCATTCTAAATATCTTGAGAACGGTTGCTCGTAGCGATTTTTACAAAGAGATATTTTTTACGTAAAAATTCACAGAGATGTATATTTCTTCGCTCGGTAGTTTTATACAGGTACGGCCAAAAAGTTATTATGCTTCAAAACAGTTAAAATACATGTAGGTGGCACCCTCTACTAGTAGGAGTGATATTGACATCAAAATCAAATTTCTCATGTCAAAAAACTCCCATATACCAATTTTCATCCAAATATTGACGTTACTTCAGAAATTATTTGGAAAAAATCGAAATAAAAATGAAACTTCTACACCCTGTATCTCCGAACCTAAGCATTTTAGGACATACATTTATACGAACTTTTTTACTTATTTTTATCTGTAGAACATGCTGCCGATGTTTCCGGAATACAGTTCGGACCACCCTGTATATAATTTAAGTTCGGCTTTCTCTATGGATACAACTGACTAACGCAAGCTGTTGCTAGGATATTCTATTAATTTTAATTGTGTTTTTTAAATATTGTGAATGATCGTAAACTAAAAAGTATAAAGTATAATTGAAACCACTAATTTACCCCACTAATTGCGAGGTTCTGAATGAAGCTGTAATCGTGACATAAAAATACATAGGTTAAATTAAAAAAGTTACGCTTTTATGTGATTCTAAGAAAATTAGAAATTTCAAAATCAATTTATGTTCCAATAATAAAGCTTTTTTAATTAAAAAAAACTCATAAAAACTTATGGAAGATCCTGTATATTAGAATGACAATTTTATGAATTTGATTACATTTGTGTTTATAGTGCAAACAGTGTTGGTGAGTCATAACCCTACAGTGGAACACAAGAACCTTTGATTGTTAGGTAAAAAATATGACCATATATTATTTAAGGTCCATTCACACATATCAGTCAAGTCTCGATTCCGTTCCTTCAAACAGTCTCAGGCATGTTCACAAACGTCTGGCTCCGTCATCGATTTATCTTCAGCCTCGTTTCAATGTCCGTTCAGTGAATTTAAATTTGTCATCAACAATATTTTCTTGTTTAGACTGACATCGTAAGAAGTTAGTTATTTTTACAAATTTTTACTTCTCCATTGAGTATTTTGTTTTTTTTTCAGTGGGGTTCTACAGGGTGGTGGTCCGAACTGTATTCCGGAAACTTCTGCACCAAATTCTGCAGGTAAAAATAAGTAAAAAAGTTCGTATAAACGTATATCCTAAATTGCTAAATTTCGGAGATACAGGGTGTAGAATTTTCATTTTGATTTCGATTGTATCCAAATAATTTCTGAAGTAACGTCAATATTTGGATGAAAATTGGTATCCTGGAGTTTTTTGGCATGAGAAACTTCGTTTTGATATTAATATAACTTCTTGTAGGGGGCGCCACCTGCATGTGTTTTAATTGTTTTGAAGAGTAATAACTTTTCGTCCGTACCTGCATAAAACTACTGAGTAAAAAAATATACATTTCCGTGATTTTTTACGTAAAAAATGTCTCTTGGTAAAAATCGCTACGAGCAACCGTTCTCAAGATATTTGGAATGGAAGTAGTCATTACATGTCATTATTGACAAAAAAAAATTGGCGCCGGGAGGCACGTATACTACACGCCCATACTAAAATATGTTAATATCTCGAAAACTGCGACTTTGACTGATTTTGATGTTATTACAAATTTTGTTGCAAATATTATTCCTAATCTTAATTTGAAAACCGCGTTTCGCTAGCCAATCTCTACTGTAATTTTGGAGTTACGATTTTTTAAAATTTCTAACCCTCTCCCATACCCCCTTACCAACCCCCCACCCCCACCAAAAACTAATGGCCAGATTCTCGGGTGCCACAGTATTTTTGTGCCAAATTTGGTTAAAATTGGTTCAGTGGTTTTTGAGTTATCGTGTTACAGACGGACAGACAGACAGACAGACAGATAGACAGACAGACAGACAGACACCATGAAAA